GATGAACGGTCGTCCGAGAGGCTGCCGCCCGGTATCGAGGATCCCGGCCGAAACGTGTCACCGTTTGGTACTTCGCCAACTTGCCATTCATTAAGTTTACTCATGCTCTCGCATGGGCCGCGTGTACGTACGTGACGTCGCCGCACGGAATAATTGGGACTCCCCGCGCCTCCGCCGCCGCGGCCGAATGACGCGAATGACGGTCGCGCCGAGCGAATCGCGTCGGTGGTTTTCCAGCTTCTCGGAAGGTGTCAAACGCCCGACTACGGTAATGTTTCTCTAAGTGACGCTCGGATTGTTCACAAAACTGGACAATTTGGGGAGAAGGAGATACGATTGCTCGAACCTTGCGATTTGTTTCTATAGTTACGAATTGTTAGCGATTATAAAAGCGAGACTCGAATAATCGTATTAGCCCTTCTCGAATTGTGCATTTTTTTGGACAATTCGAGCGTCAATTAGAGAGACATTACTGTAGTCATTTCTGGATACAGTAAATTCTCCCCAATTGACGCTCAGATTGTGCACGGAAATGGGCAATTTGGAAAGAGTTTTTATAATTGTTGAAAATTGGTAACTATAAAACCGAGTCGCAAGGCTCCTATTCCCGAATTGTCCATTTTTCTCGACAATCCGAGCGTCAATTAGAGAGACATTACTGTAGTCATTTCTGGATGCAGTAAATTCTCCCCAATTGACGCCCAGATTGTCCACAGAAATGGACAATTCGGGAAGAGAAGATGCGATTATTCGAGCCTTGCAGCTCGTTTTTATAATTGTTGAAAATCGGTAACTATAAAAACGAGTCGCAAGGCTCGAATTCGCAAGGCTCCTCTTCCCGAATTGTCCATTTTCCTGGACAATCCGAGCGTCAATTATAGAGACATTACTGTATGTCGTCGCCGGGGACCGAATATCTCGACACGTGTCGTCGACGAACGCGCTCTCCGTGCGACGCGACCGACGAATCCGTCGAGCAAGAACAGAAAAAAGAAGAAAGAAAAAAAGTGGAAGAAAAAGAACCGAAACTACAGAATTTTTTCCGCCGCAGCTGTACTAATTTTTTCGCGAGGTAACCGATTAATTTGACACGCTCGTTCCCGGCGTCAGCCGTTAATTATTCACGCGTCCGAGCGAAACGCACCGCTCGCGGAATGCGGGACGCGTTCTCGTCCGCGCGTTCATCTTTTCCTTCGCCCGTGGCCGCCGCGGGTACGGAAGACGACGACGACGACGAAGACGACACGGCCGCTGGTGCTTTAACGAACATCAAAATCAACGGGAGAGCGAGAGCCGGCTTAAACGTGGAAACGTGTTCCATAAATATCCCGTTCGACGGGGACGCGCGTAATCATCTTTGAAATATCGATAATATCGGGCCGCGCGGTTTGTCGTGAAATATTAGGTACAATTTAATAGTTTGTCAGCACGTTCGGACCGCTGCGCCGTGGCAGAATTAACGAGCCGGCCGGTGAAAAATGCGATAGGGCGTGTTACGCGTGCGTGCAAACAAGTAGAATACGAAACCGTAAGCATCGGGGGATAACTAGAAATACTTATTGCTCGGTCCGTTCCACGGCTTCTTGAACCCGATAGAATCGTCTAGCCGCCGCTCCGCTCCGCGCCGCGCCGCGCCGAGAGAGGAGAGTTCAATAATCTGCCGCGGGAGATCTCCTGTCCGGCATTGAAGTCTCCAGCGGCGCGGCGCGGCGCGCGGCAGCAACGGCGGCAGCATCTGCCGCGCGGCAACCTTCGTGCCGTCCTCCGTCGTCGTTCGCCGGCGAAAACCGAAGCGAGCATTTTTCCACGATTTTTCCGCCGAAACGCGACCGTATCCGCGAACCAGGCGGCGCCGGTATCGATGCCTCCCCGACGTCGAAAACGCGACGTGGATCAACGAGATCGTTCGCGATACGTTTTCCAGCGCGCATCGCTCAAGTTCCGCACGCGAGCCGGCCGGTGGAACGAACCGATCCTTTTTAATACGTTTCGCCGTCGTAACTACAAAGCCGTCCCACCACCGTCGAAAATTCAACGAGGCAGTAAACGTCGTCGGCCGCGCACCGTACTTGAACCCGAGGAGCCGGAATACGCCTTCCGCGTGGAAACAGATTTATGATAATCAAGGGGGCCACTGGTTTTCGTGCATCAACCGACGCGAACCTTTTTCTCTCTCCCTCTCGCTCTCTTTTACTCTCTCTCCGAGGACCCTCTCCGCGTTTTGTTTCGTAGACCGTATATGTACGCGCGCCTGTCTGCCTCGCCGCTTTCTTTTTTTCATCGCCTTTTCGCAAAGGGAATTTCGATTTTCCAATATGCGGCCGAGATTTACAGCCGGCCTCGGCCCGGCGAGGCCTTCTGATCGTCGTACCCCTTTCTTCTCTCTCTCTCTCTCCCTCTCTCGCTCTCTCTGTTTCTTCTTTTTGCGTTCGCTGTACGCGTTACTTCCTTTTCGATTTTTTTCTGCACGGGACGTGTTTTTTACTGCCCTCCGTACGTCCCGCGAAGAAGACAGTCTGACAACGTCCTTCTCCTTCGCGAAATGGATTCTCACACGTACGCGGCACGCACACACCGCCGCGGCCGGCCACCTCGTCCCGGCTGCAAGTAATGCATGCGCGACTTCAAACCGATCGTCAAAGTCAGCCGGACGTCGGTCCGGGGCCTTATACGAGAGGAGAATAGGGTGCCCGGATTTCTCTCTGTTGCGTCGTTCCGCACACAGGCGCGCACGGTTTTCGGTGCCCGGAGAAGATGCCCGAATACACGCTTTCGGGGTACATACCCGGTGCGCCCGCGCGCGCAAGAGAGATAGCGAGAGCGTTTCACGGTAAAAACTTATGAAAAATTTCATCCCGCTCGATATCGTAATTTAATGAGATTCTTCGCGACCCTGCGTGCCACGGTAATACGATCGAGCCCGCCTTTATTCCGTCGCGTCGTAATTTTTCCGGGATTCGTGCGCGGCGATTCCGCCGTCCCTTTCTCTCTCTCTCTCTCTCTCTCTCTCGATCTCTGTCTCTCCCGCGTCCGTTCCTCGCAAGATTCCAGAGAGCCTGTTCTCGATCCGGGTAAAAATTTTCGTTTTACGAGCGTGCCTCCGTGGATCGAATTAGCCGGTCGCCCCCTCCGATCGACGAAACGATCGGCAAGAAATTCCTGGCGATCGAGGGGAAATTACGCGCCGAGCAGGTTTTTCTCGCGGCCGAAAAAAATGGAAGAAAGAAGGGGGTCCGCCCGGTCGATTACAATGTTGACGCGTCCAGCGGCGGCGACCACGCGCGCCCCGTCGACTTTTACGCGCCGGCCTTTCTCGCCTCGCCCAGAAATATAGCGCGCGCGCGCGCGGAGACTACGCAAATTGCCGCGCGAAAAGAAATTTCGCTCGGCTAACGAGCCGCGTGTAAGGACACCGGGAGCACGGAAGAAAAAGAAGCCGAAGAGATAGAGGGAAGGGAGAGAACGGTTACGAGAGAGAGAGAGAGAGAGAGAGAGCCGCGGTAATCGAACTCGCCGAACCGTGTTACGCGAGTTTTCGCGTGTCCATTTTCGCGAAATATTTTCGACGTGCACACGTGGCGGTGACGCCGATTTTTCGGAAGGGCCGGCGTTGCAACGCGGTGTTTCGGAAGCGGGGGGCCCGTTTTTGCGTCGGCCCGGCGACTCGGCCGACGAGAACCGATCCAGCTCGGAAGAGCAGAAAAATGCCGTGACAAATTAGCTTAACCACATAATGCGGATTTAATTGGCGGCGCGGTGAATCGCGTCCGCCGCTTCGGTTTGCCGAGCCCCGGCGCGATTTCGCTCCGGCAGGAAGCGACGGGAACCGCTTATAGATTTTTTTCCGCAGATAGAATAACGAGGCTCGTTACGCGGTCAGATTTACACGTCTCGTGCGAAAACGACGACGCGGGCGGCGCCGCTGCCATCGCTGCTGCCGCCGCCGCCGTCGTGGAACAGGTGGAATTTCGCGTAGGAAACGCTCGTTCAGACCTTAACACGCTACTTTCACACCCTTCGGGACGGTTATAAGCCGTTCTCTGCCATTAATTATTTTTACACCGCGCTTTCGCGACGCCGAAACGATTCGTCGCGGAAGCGAAGCACGGACACGCGTCTGACACGATTCGAACACGCGGTTACGAAAAGCGCGTAAGAGAATCGAAAAGAAGTTTTTGAGAATCCTCGAGACTTTGATTCGCGAAAGTGACAATTTCGCGAGAAAGTTCGCGATCCCGCGCGGAAAATCGGAGTCGATGGTGTCTCCGCGAGAGGAACCGTTCCGGGAAGCTTCGGTTAACACATCGGTGAAACGATTCGGCGGAACTGGATCGTCAGGTACGATTCCCTGTCGCTTAGCTTGGAAATCGGCCGTTTCGTTCCTTTTATCGCCGACGATTTGGACGCTGCGCGACGAGACGCGAGGGCGACGCGGCGGCCGGAATGGTCTCGTCGAGGGCCATTCGCCGAGCGTATTAAAGCGAGCAAGACGTCGCCGATGCGCCCTGTAATTTTGGCATACGCGATATACCCACGCTTACACACGGCCCGACGCGATAAAAGCCCCGCCGGAAGCGCATGAAGGGGGTGAAGAGGGCGGCGCGCGAGGGGTCGTTACTCAAAAGCGACGACGCCGAGAGAAATCGATTCCCCGGCGACGAGAACGACGACGTCGACGTCGACGACTTTGAAAACGCTTTGGCACGCGTGCCAGCGGCTACGCGCGTCGGCCGAGCGTACGGTCGCGTCCGCCGCGGAAAACGGAGCGGCGCGGATCTCGGGGCGGAAAAAACACTGTTCTCGCGGGGGCCACGTGGCCATTTTCTTTCTCCACCGGCGACGAGATTCGCGGGGCGAGAAAAAACCGTTCTCGCCGGGGCCACGTGGCCATTTTCTCTTCCTCCACCGGCGGCGAGATTCGCGCGGCGAGGAAAACTGTTCTTCGCGAGAGAGAAAAAAAACTGGGCGAGAAATGCAGAGTCCTGCGGCGAGACACTTACATAGAGTTGGTGGTGTTCCAGTACATGCTGATCGTCTTCGCGCAATTGCTCACAGTGGACAGCAGAACCGTTTGCAGGCAGACGAGGAACACCAAAGTCACAAAGGACGTGGAAACCATCGTAACAACGTGGACAACGAGCAGCACCACACCGTCACCCACCGTTCACCGGGACGCGACAACAACCAACAACGACGTCGACGTCGACGGCGAACGGAACAACAACAACGACGACGACGACGACGGGAACAGCAACGACAACACCTGCACCTTCGTTGCTGCCGTCCACAACCACGTTCCACCACCGTTGCACGAACACCACATCCACGCTTCACTTTCCCGAACGGCTAACGGTTCTCCGTCGCGTTTTTCCCGATTCTGCCAGCTCGCGAACACTCTCCGGTATCCTGTTTTTCCCGGCCGGTTATCCTCGAGACATTCCCAGCGGAAAGCGGCGCGCACACACCCGGGCCTCGCTCTCTTCCTCTCTCTCTCTCGCTCTCTTTCTCACGGACTCGTCTTCTCGGTAGGATGATCCTCGAGAAACGGAGCCGAGTCAGAGACGATCCTGAACCCGGTGCTCGCGACGGGGCTGTTCGATCGAATCGGTCGCGATCGGCCGCCGATTAGAAGAACCGATCGAGTTTCTCCGATGCTCGGCTGCTGCTTCCAACGGTGTCCGCCGAGGTACGCGTTGTTCCATGGGTCCACCCCGTGTTTCTCTCACCTGGAGCGCACCTTGCGGCAAGCCCTCTCATTGGTCCAAAGTTTCGCCGACGCCGAGGAAAACGCACGAATACTCCGAACGAACACTCCGGGGTTCGCGACTCCGGCCGCGGAACTACTATGCGATCCGACACGCTATCCAAACAGTTCGACGGCACTCCGAGATCGAGCCGCGGCTCGACAACGAGTATCCGACGGGATCACACGAGCCACCGAGGAACGACGATAAACCCGTCGAACATCACAACGCGGCCGTTGCTCGCGCGTAGCCTCCGCCGACTTCACCTCCGTCGACGACAGAACCGACGAACGGGGAACCACATTTGGCGTTTCGATCAACTGTTTCTTCACCGGGGACAAATTTTCACCTCCTCCCCCGCTCCGAAAGGAGAACGGGAAAGAAAAGAAGAAAGGGAAAATAAAGAGTGAGAGAAGAGAGGCCGGAGAGAAACAGGAGAAGAAACTGAAAAAAACACTGCCGGGCACCACCACCGAGCGAGTCTCCTCCTGACGGCGGCAGGAGAACGGAGCAAGAAACTGCGGAGTCAAAGATCGCACCACTGGGAGGATCTCTCACGAGGAGCACAAGAAACGAGACGCAGCGAAACGAGGCGGTATCCTTCTCGCCTGGAGCACACCCCCGGTATATTATACTTTCTCACGCACACTTGGCGATTCGCGACTCGACTCGGCTCGGCTCGAGTCGCACGGGCCCGCTCTTCGACGGCGATCGTTCACTGATCCACAGAGAAATGAAAAAAAAAATAAAGAAAAAGTAACCGAAGAGCTTCCACCGGTTCGATTCCGGAACGGAAATCACTTGGATCCTGGATCACGGTTGTAGCCGCGGCACGACGATATTATGCCGTCGCGCGGATCGGCGCGGCTCGCTCTCGGTACGAGCGAGAGGCACGGACGACTGACTGTTCGCACGACGAGAGAGGTTCGTTCGAGACGAGCCCCGTTCAAACGCAGAGAGAACAGCACCTCCGTTCTGGTCGGTGTCGCGGACGCGTCTGTCGGCCGAGCGGAGTGTCGCGGCCGTTCGTCTCGCGTCGGCAGACTCGAGCCGCGGACGGGGGTGTCGGGGATCGCCGAGCGCCGCCGGAAACTCACGAACCTACCGCCACGGGAACCCTCGGTCTCTCCTCGCGCAGCGGCCGACGTGTCTCGCTCCGCTCGGCGACTATGCGGTATTACGCCGCCTGCTCGCGAGACGCGAGTTTCCGAGTCGAGGATCTCCCTAGCGCTCTGGCTCCGCTCCGCTCCGCTTCGCGTTTCTACCGTTCCGCCGTCCTGCCGTCGGCGCGGAGGATTTTCGAGCCTCGAGAGTGTGCCGATACGAGACAAGTGCCGCCGCCGCCGCCGCCGCCGCCGCGCCGGGAACGCCGTCGCCGCTCGTGTTTTTACCCGTGAAATCTCGTCGCCCGAGCGGATCTCTGGATTTCTGCTACTCGGGGCCCGCGCGTCGAGCTCTCGTTTGCTCCAAGGATTTTCGGATAGACCCTTCTTCGCTCTCTCACGACCATCCGACACCGGACGAACGCTCTGCTTCTCTTCGCCTAACGCCGCGATCCTCGGCCGCGTTACAACGATTTGTTTCTCCGCGCAGTGATCTTTTGCTTACGCCGGGGCTTCACCCGTGAACCGATTAGGTAGCCTGGAGGTTTTTAAACATTCTTCTACGGTACTTGCGATGTAACAGTTGTTTGAATATATTTTGTCTGAAACTGGAAGGCGAATCATGCACCGAACGATTTATCGCACGAATCGGTATAAATGACATCTGGCAGTTTAAAACGTGTAATTGTTCTATTATCTGAACATTTATGCCACTCTCTGCTTAGTCCGGATAATCGTCGAGGGTTCTGCTGTTATTATGTTCGGTTTAATTTCTTTCTTATTTTGGTGCGTCGTTCTAAAGGTATAAGTACCATACTGCATCGTTTCGAACAAGTCTTGGAAATATCGTTCGTTTGTTGATCTTCTTCCAGGATTATTTTCTTCTCCGAATAAAATTGTAAACATGCGACCGGAAATTGGCTTCGTTGTAACTGAAGTAATTCGCTTGACTCTGGTTAGCTTTCTCTTCGGACAAACGGGCAATTTGATGCGTTTTTAGGATAGGATTGCTGTGCGATGAAAAATTAGGTTCGCCGAGGTGACGCGCTATGAAATATTTTCTGAATAAAATTGGAAACACGGTGATTAGTCGGAAATAAAGTTCATCGAAACTTAAATAAAATTGTTCGTTTAATTCTTGACAGCTCTTTTTCCAAACAATGAAGCAGTTCGTTGCCTTTTTAGAATAAAATTGCAAGCGGAGTACTTGTGTGATGAAAAATTAGGTTCGCCGAGGTGACGCGCTATGAAATATTTTCTGAATAAAATTGGAAACACGGTGATTAATCGGAAATTAAGTTCGTCGAAACTTAAATAAAATTGTTCGTTTAATTCTTGACAGCTCTCTCTTCAAATAATAAAATATTTCGCTGCCTTTTTAGAATAAAATTGCAAGTCCAATACCCGTGTGATAAAAAATTAGGTTCGCCGAGGTGACGCACCGTGAAATATTTTCTGAATAAAACTGCAAACATGGTGATTAATCGGCAATTAAGTTCGTCGAAACTTAAATAAAATTTGCTCAATTCTTGATAGCTCTCTCTCTCTTCAGATAATAAAATATATCGCCGTCTTTTCAGAATAAAATTACAGTCAAAGTACCCGTGCGATGAAAAATTATGTTCGCCGTGACGATTAGTTCGCCGCGAAATCCTCTCCGAATAAAAATCGTAAACACGATAAATGACCGGAAATTGGGTGTCGGGACCTAAATAAAATCGTTCGTTCAATTTCTCGGCAGCTTTCTCTCCAGACAATGGAATGGGTTTGCTATCTTCTCGGGACAGCAGGATTTCGAGCGTGGTATCTACGTGTTCGAAAGTTCGTCGAGGTGACGACTCCACGAAACGAGAAGAGAGTGCTTAGCGAACGTTCTCTCATTCGGGACCCGCTTTCTTCGAGATATTCGAGTTTCGGAGCAGCCCTGAAAACGAGAATTGATAAGCCGTGCACAGACTCGTCGATCTGCTTCCATTCGCAGCTGCGCGTGTTCGACGAACGTTCGAGCCGGATTCTCGGCGTAACTGCGACACGCTCGGTCAAAGTTTCTTCTCGCTTTTCCCGTCGGGAATTCCGACCTTCCGTCGGACCCTAAGCGATCCAGCGTCGCTCGTTGCCGGATCTCTTCGAAATTTCGGAAGATCCGTCGAAATTAGAGCCGTTTATTTTGAAAGTGGCATAAGTCGCTTCACCGTAATGAAAAGTGGTGATTTTTTAATGTTTATACGAAATTATTTATACCGAGAAAAATATCAGTATCCTGAGAGATAACAAATACAAGTAAATCTTCTCGAAAGTTAGCATCCATATTTTTAAACGTGTTCAAACGCGAACCCTTAAATATATCGACTTAAAAACGAAGTGACTTATATGCCACTTTCAAAATAAACGGCTCATTTATCTTTCGTACACGATCATTAAAAGCGTCCAACGACGTCGACGACGATTCGACCGTGGAAGAAAAGTGCCGCGATCTCGGCCGCGTTCCCAAGGATCCGAGGAATCGGCCGCCAGAATTTTCGACGACGAGGATCGGTTTCGTGTTTCGACTGTTTCGCGGAGTTCCATCAGGCCCGCGGATAGGTGGGGAGGGGCGCGAATTTCGTTCCGGTTTCATCACGAGGTGCTGGGAATTGGAATCCCTCTTTTTTCGTTTTTTTTTGCCTGCTCCTTTTTTTTCCCCGGCCGGTTTTTTTGGAAAGCAATTTTCACGAGGGAATTACGTTTGAACGGATGAAAGAGAGAGAGAGAGAGAGAGAGAGAGAGAGAGAGAGAGAAAGGAGCAAGGGCCCGGCGGGGGGACGGGGATCGTTATTCGCCGGAGTGCCATGTTTGGTTACGCCGAGTTTTCGGAGTCGATTGAACACCATTAAAATGAATTCGGCGTAATTACGCGCCGCGGATAAGATACGTAATTTCCTGCTTAAATATTACGGTTATCGTTCGACGCACTCACCGGGCTTAATGCCGCGTTATAAATATTCACGGGGAACCACGGGAACGAAAGGTTGCCCCCGAGAGCGGCGAGAAGCGGTAATCGATCGATCTCCTCGCGTCCGACGTTATAACGAGGTCGGTCGTTTAAGCCTGCTCGCCCGTTTCCTCGCGATTCCGCGCCGCGCGAGAAACATCGGGAAACAACGCGCCGGGAGACAATGCTCGAAATTAGAGGACAAGTTTCGCGACGAACGCGATCCGCTGTTCTCTGTTTAATCGGAGAGCTTTCCTTTTCGTCGCTCGACGTCGCGCCGCGCAGCGCAGCGGAAGGGACGTCGCGGTTCGACGCTCATTAACGACTGCGAGCGGCGTGATAAATGACTCCGGGACCGCGCCGCGGCCCCCAAGACCCCGGAATCGCGGGACCGTCGCGGAATTGAATTTTCAACGCGGTCCGGCCCGCCGCGGAACGGCTTCTTCCCGGTGCTCGCGCGCTGGGTGCGCGTTGGGTGCGCGCTGATTACGCCGAGCCGTCCCATAAGCCTCGTTTACGTCGCGCGAAAATCTCCGCGCGATTGAGTGAAACCTCGAGCGAGTAGGCGCGTCCGGATCGTCACGATTCGCCCTATGAATTAGCGTCGCCGCTCGTTTTCTTTCGGCCGAGCAACGGGCTTTTAAGGGACCCGAAGTGCTGCCTGCCTGCCTGCCTGACTTACGATCGCCGCTAGTCCCCGTTTCCTGTTTCAATTCCGGCACGCGCCCCGTTTCCCTGACACCAGTTTTCCCGGTTTTAGTCGCCGCCAGGAGTCGCTCACGTTCCCACAGGCTACAGAGACTGTTCCTATAAATACGGCACACACTTTGTAACTCTGCTTTATATGTGCCGCCCGGAGTCAAGTGTCGTTCGCTGGGTCGCAGACTTTTCCGCGGCAGACGGATCTTCTAAATTCGTCTGGATGATGTTTGGGGTCTGTTCTCGATGATCGTTTCGATATGACGAATATTGTCTGCGACGATCGCAGAGCGGTTCCTCTGTAAGCGTCTTGCGTTTTATTGGCTGGTTTTGTTACGACGGATGTAACCGTGGGGAAAATCATGCGTCGCGATTGTTTGAATACGTGTTGGAAAATTCGTGAGAAGAATCGCAGTGAGTAATGCTTGTGATGATTAGGTTTCTCTCTGCGGTTTCTGATCGATCCGACAAAATTCTGTATTCAATATCTGCATAATGTCTTATTTATTTATTTACTTATTATTCGGTGGGGGTAAAGCAGTAGATAGTATACAAGATTATGTCAAGGTTATAAGTAATGCTTCTGCTGATTAAATTTCTCTTTGCGATTTCTGATCGATCCGCTAAAATTCTGTATTCGATATCTGCATAATGTCTTATTTATTTATTTACTTATTATTCTGTGGGAGTAAAGCAATATATAGTATACAAGGTTATGTCAAGGTTATAAGTAAACCTTCTGCTGATTAAATTTCTCTCTGCGGTTTCTGATCGATTCGCCAAAATTCTGTATTCGATATCTGCACAATATCTTATTTATTTATTGATTTACTTATTATTCTGCGGGAGTAAATCAGTACACAGCATACAAGGAATTAATAAATTTAAACGTCGTCCGATAAGTAAAATAATTTTCATTAAGAGTGTTTCGCTTGATTACGTTTAAATGAGAAAGTCGAGAACGCGAAGAAAGTCCAAAGTTCGCACGAAAAGAATTTGTGTTCAGTGCACTTTTATAAAATACAAAATTTAATGAAGAATGTTAATAAATAGATAATTATTTAATAAATAACTCTTCTTAATCAATATATATTCGCCGTTTCCGACAAGTATCTTCATCATGAAGAAATACACTAAATTCTCGGTAATCGACGCTCAGATTGCGCACAAAAATGTACAAATCTCGCGGCTCGTTTTTACAGTCGTCGACAATCGATAACTATAAAAAAAAACAAT